TCATTTCAGCATTGTTTGACGATCGACTTGCCATTCAATGGGATTTGAAAATGGACATTCTGAATCGACTCCACGAAAGCCATCTTGGCATCACGAAGTGCCGAGCTCTAGCTCAAACTTCAAGAGTAGGCCAAAATCACCAGTCAGATCGAGGATATGGTGAAGTAGTGCAACACTTGTTCAAAACTTCGACCTGTCCAGAAGGAACCTCTGCTTCCTTCCTCGTTACCAGACCGACCTTGGCCTCGATTGGCCATGGATCTGTTTGACCTGAAGGGTCAGACAAACATCGTTGTGGTCGACTATTACTCTCGTTGGGTAGAGCTATGCTTACTCGAAAAGCTAAACTGTGTATTCGTTATCAATAAACTCGTCCATCTTTGCCACTCATGGCATCCCAGAGGCAGTCATGTCCGACAATGGCCCTCAGTTTTCAAGCGCCAGCTTCCAAGCTTTTGCAAAAGATTTTGGTTTCATTCACATCATCAGCTCTCCAAGATATCCCCAGGGCAATAGTGAGGCAGAAAGAGCTGTGCAAACAGTAAAGTTTCTCCTAAAAAAGCCAAAGATCCATACACTGCCCTACTGTTATACCGGGCTACTGCTTTACAAAACGATTGTCCCCCAAGTGAGCTCCTAATGGGAAGGAAAGTCCAAACCAAAATGCCCATTTACGCAGGACAATTTACATCCAAGTTCAACTCTATTCGTCAAAGGGAAGAGAAGAGGAAAGGGATCAGAGGAAGAGGAAGAGGAAATATAACAAGAGACACGGTGTCAAATCTGTTCCAGAACTTTGCCCCAGTTATTCTGTCCACATTCGAGACCAGAGCCGACCGGGCATCGTTAACAACAGACACTCCAATCCTCGCTCCTACACAGTGACGACTGAAAAAGGGAGATTTACTGGATGAAAAAAGCCCAAAAGCTCTATGGACTGTGGAGGATATACTCTGCTACGGTTCAAGCAAGAAACCAGCTAATTATTAAGGGCATCATAATAAACAAAATGTCTGTCGCTTTCCTCAGCGTCAGCCCGACGGTGACGAAAGGAACCAAGGACTCCCCCACAGTGAAAGTCATCATTGGCAACATACCATTGTCAGTGTCCAATGATGAAATAGGAAAAGAGTTTAAGAAACTAGAGGGAGTGACCATTCTTTCAAAATTTTATGAAGAATGTTATAGGGACAACGAAGGAAAGTTGACCTTGTTTAAAAATGGTAGACGTTTTGTCTACATTAATGTCCCCCCTCACCCTCTCCCCAAAGATTTTCAGGTTGGACACTGGAGACCTACGTTGTATCATTACGGCCAGAAAGAAAAAAAGGAGACGATGGGAGCAATACAGCCGGTGGACACCCCTGACACCAATGTTCAAGCGACAATCGGTGAGGCTAACGCTAACACACAGGCGGAGACACAGGCAGAGACACACACCCTGCGTCCCGCAGCCTGACCGCTCCCGCCCCTCAGTACGCTCACCCCGAAGCCAGGACACAAGGTCTCCAAGTGTCAAGACGAGGAGACATAAAAGGCAGGTGAGCGACGAGCGTGAAATCTCGAAAACAAGAGGCCTGAGAAGAAGGCAAGACACGGTAGATTATTTTGATTATGAGGAGCCAATGACTACCGAAACGTGTGAGCACGAAGAGGTCCTTGCGTGAGTGGTGTGTACACAAAGGGAAACTTTACGAAGGGACAATATAAAAAACTGGAGACCGATAACGTTGACAAACACGGACTACAAAATCTTCTCCAAAATATTAGCTATACGGCTACAGCGTGTTATGCCAGTTTTAATAAATGAAAACCAAACTGGCTTCTTGAAAGGCAGGTCCATTTCGGAGCACATTAGGACACTTGACGACATTATCTACGTAGCATCTGAAAAAAATCTACCAGGTATGGTGGTATCTTTGGATTTTCAACGCGCATTCGACACTAGAAAAGGGAACAATATTGGCCACATTGAAAAAGTTTAACTTTGGAGAAGGATTTATAAATATGGTGGGAGTTTTAATGGCTAACACAGAATGTTGTGTACAAAATGAGGGATGGTTGTCAGAATGGCTCAACACAGAGCGATGAATAAAACAAGGTTGCTGCACAAGTCCACTTTTTTTTGTACTTGTTGCAGAGTTGATGTCAGTAAAGTTAAGAAACAATAGCAGCATATCTGGAATGAGCACAATTTTGTCTGGGGAAATAATTAATTTTTGCAAAGTTTTGCAGTATGCTGATGACACCACTCTGATTCTAAAAGACCAAGAAGACCTTGCGCCTTGTTGGACATCGATTCTTTTGGTAGCATCTCTGGGCTCAAGCTGAACAAGGATAAATCACAAGGTATGTGGATTGGAAGTGATAGAACACGCACTGAAAAATTAGGAGGAATCAGTTGGGTCCCTAATGGGAATACAACTAAAATACTAGGTATTCACTTTAGTGCAACAGAGGAAGCATCTCACATAGAACTTAATTGGATAGACAAAATAGAAAATATGAAAAATATCATGAAAATAAATCCATCCCTATATGGGAAAGTAACTATTTGTAAAACTTTCCTGCTGTCTCAAATATCCTATATAATTCAGTCACTATCTTTACCCGAAAGAGTTTTTAATACAATTGATACTTTGTTCTTTAAGTTTCTGTGTCAGAAGAGGCACTTGAGAAAGTAAAAAGAAATGTAATGTGTAGATCGATTGAGGAAGGAGGTTTGGGTGTTATAAGTGTTAAAGATCAACAGAAAGTTTTTCTATTAAATTGGTTAAAACGTATGGCAACTGTTACCGAAGGCAGACAGACCCAACAACATTCCCAACAGAATTTCAGACTCAACTTTTACGGAGGTAGGATGGTGTGATTACTTTTTTTTCGGCTACAGCAAACTGCAAGAAAACGGGAAAATTGTGTAATGCCTCTAAGTTGTGGGAGAGTGTGATGGATACATGGATCGAAATGGCTTCTATTTTTAAAAAAAAGAACCAAGTCCCACAATAGAGATACTTATGGAACCTTTGTTCAATAAGCGAAAAATAAAATATAAAAGGAAATCATTGTACCTAAAAAGATGGATGAACTCTCTCTCTCTCTCTCTCTCTCTC